CTTCAATGTCTTCGTATATAATGGCGGCAGCAAAGCTCCTCCAGCAATCGGGGAGGGAGGCACCGGCGACAGCGGGCTCTTCAAGATGGCTGCACCGGCAGGATGACATCTGCAGTCAAAGCGAGACTCACAGCCTGGTGGTGGCCTGGCATGGCAGCTGGAGCCAGGGACTACTTGTCGCAGGGGTGAGTGTGGGTTCAGCGGCACCAGTGAAATGGGCCCAGCAGCAAAGAGATGGTGCCTCAAGTGGGGCGACTCCTACGTTGGTGGGTCCAGGGCAGGTGGTCAATGTATCCCTCGTGGTTAGGTGCCAGCACGGGCTGGGTTAGAAAGACTGATATTCTGATTTTCTGAAGAAGAGTCCAGACCCGAAACGTCAGCTTTCCTGCTCCTCTGATGCTGCTTGGCCTGTTGTGTTCATCCAGCTCCACACTGTGATATCTCAGATTCTCCAGCATCGGCAGTTCCTACTATCTCTGATATTCTGAATGTTTTACTTTTTTAGTTTTCTAATTTATTCCTATGACCTATATTGCTGAACTATTTATTTCTTTACTTTTCCAACATTTTTGTTGTTTCCTAAGAATTTGATTTTAAGTGTCTGCACCTAGGTACCTTGTACCTAAGATAGCCCTGTAAGGCAGCGACTTGTAAACTTGTCACTGTACTCATTTGAGTACATGTGACAATAAAGCTAATTCAATTCAGTTCAGCATGTGCCCTTCAAGATTGCAGGAACAAAAGAATCTACCTGGATGTGGCTGAAATTCTGAGACAGTCAATTCTATTGCAGGATGAAATCACAATAATGCGGTACATACCAGCCCCTTGCAATTTACATGAACAAGCCTCAGAAATTATGAGTCTGCATACATGTCATTGCATGAAGCGATTCTGAATGCAATCTGCACAGTTGTTAATATGGTCACAAGCTTGGTGGTAAATCGTGGTTTTTCACAGTGAATTCCTTCTCAAAACCACTTTGCTACTGTCCTGTTGTGGTCAGTGTACCAAATTGTAGGTTTAAGTGCAGTCTTGTGAAGAAACATGACTTACAATACGATATGGCAGACATTCTTCAGGCCACACTCTGAGTTCCTCACAGGGCTAAGCAAATAATATATCTTTAAGACCACAAAAGTACGCTTTGTAACTAAACAAGTAGGCCCATGTGCTTGGTTATACTGTTCTTGGCTGGGATTCTGAGGACTTGGCACCAGTGATACAAGTCAGGATTTTAGACAATAACTTCTGTCACCTGTAAAAAGGAAAAAGCAATCCCAAAAATATCTTCACACGATTCACACAAACCGGGCAAAAGGACAGAATATTGCCTGTTAAACAGCCAGTCGTCAAACACTGTTACACTCTCAAACAAACTTTATGAGAATGATGATTGAGACAGTTTGACAGAGGCTTGGTAGGAGATAGGAAATTAGCAAACCTACTTGGGGTGATATTATGGTAACTGCTTACCACTTAGCCATTTACAGAGTGAAAACTTGCCGATAACCTTGAAATAGCTTTGTTTGGGAGAGGTAATCAGAAGGCCAAGAGGCTCTTAGAACTCTGAAGAAGTTAAATGTGAAGGAGTTAAGAAAGAACTTGCATTTACAGAGCACCTTGTTGGCCCTCAGGTCAACCTACACTTAAGGAGTGCAGTCTCTGTTAGAACATTTGCAATTTATAATCACAAACAGCTCCAGTTTCATCTACGGTTACTGCTACATGATTCATGCTGATAGACAAAGTAACTCATCCATCTAGTCAATGCAGCAATGGTTTGGGAAATATGCCTAAAAGCTCAATCTTGGTTAGCAATTCCAGTGTAACCATAGGGGCTCCAAAAGATAGCAATAGTCCAGAGATCTCGCCTTGACAACAGGCAACCGTTTAAGTGCAGGCTGTTAATTCTTTCCTCAATGACAAGTTTGCTCAGATTCTCAAGTGTTTCAGGAAAACATGGTGGAGTGAATGCTTTAGTGGTATGTCATACATTTGCCACATACAGGTAATTGGGAATTCTTGGGGGGTGACTAATTGAATCTTAATCAGTAAATTAGTATGAAAAATAGATACCAATGTTAGATAACCGATCTCAATGCCCGTATTTGCATGTGTGCACGCATTAACTATTTTGACTATTCTAATGTTCAAACACATTGCACCCCAGATAATAGTCAGGTCATCCTAAATTCTTGTATTGTTACTTTCATCAAATCCTATTCACCCATTGTCCCGGAGTATGTACCGAGATGCAGTGAAAAGTATTATTTTGTGTATTAACCAGACAAATCATACCTTACATAAGTACATCAGGGCAATCAAACAGAATGCAGAATACAGTGTTGCAGCTACAGAGGAGGTGTAGATAAAGATCAACTCTAATTTATGAGCGGTCCATTCATAAATCTGATAGCAGCGGGTAAGAAGCTGTTCTTGAACCTGTTGACTTGTGTTTTCAAACTTTTGTATCTTCTGCCTGATGGAAGAGGGTGCAAGAGAGTGTAACTGGGATGGGAGGGGTCTTTGATTATGTTGGCTTTGATTATGTTTCCCAAGGCAGCAGGAAGAGGAGGCAGAGTCAAAGGAAGGAAGGCTGGTTTATGTGATGGACTGGGCTGTATTCACAATTCTCTGTAATTTCTTGTGATCTTGGTAAGAGCAGTTATCATACCAAGCAATGATGCATCCAGATGGAATGCTTTCTATGGTGCACCTATAAAAATTGGTAAGAGGTATTGTGGACATGCCGAATCTCCTTAGCCTTCTGAGGAAGTAGAGGCTTTAGTGTGCTTTCTTGACTGTAGCATCAACATGGATGGACCAGGACAGATTGTTGATGATATTTACTTCTAGGAACTTGAAGCTCTTGACATCCTCCACCTCAGCGCCATTGATACAGACAGGGGCACATCCTCCACACCGCTTCCTGAAGTCGATGACCAGCTCCTTCATTTTGCTGATATTGAGTGTCACGCCACTAAGTTCTCTATCTCTATCCTGTACTCTGTCTCATCGTTGTTTGGGATCCAACCCACTGCAGTTGTGTCATCAACAAATTTGTAAATGGAATTCGAGCTGAGTTTGGCCACACAGTTGTGAGTGTATAAGAAGAAAAGTAAGAGCTGAGTATGCAGCCTTATAAGCCACCGGTGTTAAGGATTGCAATCATTCATTTGTCAATCATTTCTATCCACCTGCAGTAATTCAGTTGAAAATTATCTCTCACTTCACTGGGGAATTGAAAAGAATATTTCCATAATTGCAGGCATCCAGCTCATCAATGATGAAAATAAGAAACTGTCCCTGATAATCCCCTATGTGTGTGATACTGTGCAACCTCCAGAACGAACAGGTGTCTCAGTATTCTGAAATTATTTATCCATGAACATAGTTCACCAGACACAAGAGTCAATCCTCTCATCAAAGCAGAATCTCATCAAAGGCTTTTGATTCATTAGAGTAGTGAGATAATAAAAGGCAATCAAGGTACTGTAGAATGATTTACTAGGATGTTGCCAGGGTTGGAGGGTTTGAACTATGGGGAGAGGCTGAATCGGCTGCAATTATTTTCCCTGGAGCGTTCGGAGGCTGAAGGGTGACTTTATAGAAGTTTATAAAATCATGAGGGGCATGGATAGGGTGAATAGACAAAGTCTTTTCTCTGGGGCTGGGGGATTCCAAAACTAGATGGCATAGGTTTAAGATGAGAGAGGAAAGATTTAAAAGGCATCTAAGGGGCAACTTCTTCACGCAGAGGGTGGCGCGTGTATGGAATGAGCCACCAAAGGAACTAGTGGAGACTGGTACAATTACAACATTTAAAAGGCATCTGGACGGGTATATGAATAGGAAGGGTGTAGAGTGATATGGCCAAATGCTGGCAAACGGGACTAGATTTATTTATGATATCTGGTTGACATGAACAAGTTGGACTGAAGGGTCTGTTTCCATGCTGTACATCTCTATGGCTCTATGGCACCTGGAAAGTTTGAAGTTCTCATTAATTAGAGCCAAAGGTTATTTATTTGAGATTTGGTTAGTTTGATTCTGAAAATAGTTGGCTGTGAAAGTACATGAAAGAAGTCTGCCCCTCTGATTGCAATTGGTATTCTTTTGCAATCAAAGTGATCAAATGTTTGGCAGGTGGAGTTATTAGACTTTGACTCTCATCTGGATCCAAAATCTTACTTGAAATTATTGTTCTAATTTCAATTGGAGATAAAGAAAAAATTGCTGCATTCTTTAATAGTGAAATTAAAATAATCGCACATTGTTCATTCATCAATTCCACAATTGCATTGGACAGAACAAAAAGATACATTTGCTCACACCTAAATCAGTTGGAATTGAGGCACTACCTTCAGCAAGACTTTAGAATGCAAACTACATTTTTAAAAAATGGGCATTTGCCTCGGAAACATAACACATAAACTATAACATTTGCCAAGGAAAAGTGTAAAGAGAATATTTTTCATTGAAACAAATATTTTTAAAAATCTAATATTTCCCAAAAAAACTTGGATGTTCAAACAGAAAATTCTTTTTGATGAAACCACGGCTTTGAAAATTTTCCTTTAAATTCAGTGCTGTGTTATTTCGCATTAGTCTCAATCTCACAATGTTTCTTTGCTTAGATTTTTCAAAAACCTGTTAAGGAATCAAAGTGTCATCTTACCTTACACTGCCTTTTACAATCTTAATATATACTCCATCCATCAACTAGAATATTTCTGTTACATTTCAGGTGGTTTTGATGATTTTTTTTTCAGGAGTTCTCTCTGTTGAGTCACATCATGTCAATGTTAACGAAGAGGTAATGCATTAGTGGAATGCTAAACTCTGCAGACGATGGATGTCTCCACAATGAAACCTTAGTCCCCAGCCTCGGCAGTTTGACAAACACATTATGAGTTGATAAATGAGAGAGTGCTAGAATTTACTAAAGTCCAGCGAAGATAGTGAAAAGACCCTGCTCATCCAGAATGTTTTCCTTGCCTTTTATAAATGCTATTAGCACCTGCAGAATAACTCAGGTGAATCTTTGGTCAAGCATTTTAAATTAAAGCAAAACCTTTTTAACCCAAGAGTCTGATGAATGAGCTCTTAGCAAATAGTCACTACCGATGCCTGTGTATGTCATGACTATCTCCTTTTATTAATCGACATGCAAAAAAAAATACACAAAACGTTATGATAGGTAACACAGATTTGATAGATAATGTCAGTGTTGACCATGATCATGTTACTGAAATAATACTGAATGTGATGCTATCATCAATAAAGTCTGTACACTGTAATACTAAAGTATAGATTTTATGCTTACACAGGAAATTTTCAATTGGTCAGAAAAGTGAGAGCTACCACATGAAAACAGAGCGAACATCAAAAGACAAGTCCATTTTGCACATGTCCTAGGAGTTAATTACTAAATAGTAATGGCCCGGAAAGAAATCAGCTGCATTTGGAACATAGCATATGGCACAAATCCATAGAGTCAGAAACAGCAGAAAAGAATTGGAGAGGGAGTTAATTATAAAAGCAATATTTTCACTCTGTTCCAATCTCATCCTCTCATATTGTTTGTATGTGCACCCAGTCTCTCTGCTTCATGCCTGAGCCATCAGTTGTATCATAACTATTTTCACTTCATAACCCCCAAAGTCTGCTCACCTCTTTCTGCCTTTAAAACCCATCTCTTTGGCAACATCTTTAGGCAGGATAATCTTTATAGGTGCCACAACAAATCTAGAATTCTGTTAAAAAGCATGTGGAATCCTTGGTAAAACGAATAAGGGCAGAAAGTACAAAAGCTAGGAAGTTATACTAAACTTTTATAATCCACAGGTTAGGCCTCAACTGAATATTGTGCCCCATTCTGGATCCCACACTCTTGAACGGATATGAAGATCAGTTGGAGCTGATTTCATAAAATGGTGCCGAGGATAAAATGGTTCAGCAATATGTAGAGTTTAGAGACGCTACGGTCATTGTCTTCAGAGCGAAGATTATGAAGAGAAAATTTGATCAATGTGTTTAAAATCATGAAGGATTTTATAGAACCAGTGGTAACATGAGGTAAAATGAAACATTTTCTGCATTGAATTGTAATAAAGTGGAATGCATTGCCTGAAAATATGGTGGAAGCAGATTCCATAATAATTTTGGAAAGGAAATTGGAATGCAGAAGCAAGATCCAGAAGTAACTCACAGCCTGCATGTGAGCAAGTAACTAATATGCATAGAAGAGGTGACCCCTTTAAATAGCATTCCTACATGTATGATCCTTCCTATTAACAATCACTTTGAATTCTTGTTCAAAGTTATCACAATGCATGCCAGCGGCTGGGACAAAATATAAGCAACATCAATTTTGTTCCAGGAGAACAATATTTTAGAAAGCTTTTTACATGTCCTATCAATCCCTATGGATTGTCTGAGCTCATATGGCAGTTGGTTTACTGTTAGCATTGGTTGAGTGGTCACCTACACCACTGGTCATTACATTTTGACTGGAAACCTGATGCATGACTCTAAGTTATTATGTTTGAATATTTGCTAAGCCGCAGGCGAGAGGCTTTATTCGCTATATAGTCAAGTCTCAGCCAAGCTCTCACAGGTCCACGAAACTTGGGAAATGATGGTTCATGGATATTGGGCAAACGTTCAGGACCCAGAACTTCTGGATTGGGAACAGTAAAACTGCAGATTATCCAAGTTTCCAGCAGATGCAGCCAATATATTGTGTAAACCTTGGAAAGCATTTCCTGGGCCTTAGGCCCTTTCAGTTGCAATCATAATATAATGACGGCAATCATAATTGGATGGGGCCCTCACTTCTGTGGACATGGAAACTATGCCACATTTAGACACATTTGTTTAGGAATGAACAGCTCTACAAAGAGCACCATAGAAAAGAGGCATGTAAATACAATGGTGTAGCTCGTTTTGATTGTCATGTGGTTTGTCTCTTCCTTTCTCATGGTAGTTTCCCTTTGCATCTCATTGTATCTCTTTATCTTCACCTCCACTGTATCATCTTTGCCATGCTCTCATTTTGCAGTCGTTTCCTCTTCTTTTCATTTTAGATGTACGGCTTATATTATATCAGGAGCGTAAAACACATGAATTGTGAGTTTCTGCTTTTCAGATGACATTCAGTTGCTGCCCCAGCTGTCTTGAACCACCTCATGGTGTTGTAACATTTGACCATATCCATCTACATTTAGTATCATTGAATTGAACCAAAAGCAAAGGCAGAGTGTCACCAATACTTGAGATGAAGGGTGTGTGTCATCAATGAAACGCATCTGTTACACCTTGACCATTCCAGCAACTAGGAAGCGGAAATTCTTCACATCAACTAGAGTTCTTTCAGTTTCTGGTTGTCTCCAGGTTTTAGTATACGGCTATCAGGAGTGTAAAGTGGCATACAGGTGACCTTTGACTAAAGGCCAAGGTAAACCCCTCTGGGAATTTGGCTTGAATCCCTGAAAGTGCTGGAGGAAACTGAGCAGGTCTGGAGCATCTGTGGCAAGAGAAAAAAAGTTAGCCTTTTGAGGAAGAGTCACCAGACCCAAAATGTAAATTCTGATTTTTCTTCACAGGTGCTGCGAGACCTGCTGAACTTTTCCAGCAACTTCTGTTTTTGTTAACCTTTTGAGGATTTGTGTGTAGGAGCAGGGATGTCTTGCTGCAATTATACAGGGCCTTGGTGAGGCCACACCTTAAGTATTGTGTGTAGTTTTGGTCTCCTATTCTGAGGAAGGACATTCTTGCTATTGAGGGAGTCCAGCGAAGGCTCACCAGACTGATTCCCGGGATGGCAGTACTGACATATGAGGAAAGACTGGATCGACTGGGCTTGTACTCACTGGAATTTTGAAGAATGAGGGGGGATCTCATAGAAACATAAAATCCTGGTGGGATTGGACAGGCTAGATGTGGAAAGAATGTTCCCAATGTTGGGGAAGTCCAGAACTAGGGATCACAGTCTAAAATAAGGTGTAAGTCATTCAGGACTGAGATGAGGAAGAATTTCTTCACTCAGAGAGTTCTGAACCTATGGAATTTTCTCCCACAGGAAGCTGTTGGGACCAGTTCATTAGATATATTCACGAGGGAACGGGACATGGCCCTTGCGGCTAAAGGAATCAAGGGGTATGGAGAGAAAGCAGGAGTGGGATACTGAAATTGCATGATCAGCCATGATCATATAAAATTGTGGTACAGGCTCGAAGGGCCAAGTGGTCTACTCTTGCACCTATTTTCTATGTTTCTGTGTTTAAATCCAGTATGATTCTTCTTCAGACCTGAAAGAGCTCGGAAAATGTTTTGTTCATAATTTTGACAGAGACAGAAGAGGGTTAAAGGGAGCAGACGGTGTAAAGGACAATGCAAAAGGCAAATGGGTTGTTAATGGTGTTGAATGAGAAAAAAAAATGGAAAATGGGTGCAAATTAAGTTGCGAAAGGGAAAGAATTGGTCCTCTCTGACAGGACCTCTTGCAATTCTGAAGAAGTGTCCTATTAGACTCAAATCTGTTTCTTTCTGTACCAGTGATACCAGAGATGCTGAGTTCTTCAGCAATTTCCATTTTGGTCCAGATTCCTAGCATCCGCAGTATTTTGGTTTTATTTGAGAACTCAAATCCTATCAGTCAGCTGGTGGATTTAAATTTAATGAATGAATCTAGAACTCAAAGTTAGCCTCTGTGATGGTGATCATGAAACTATCATCAGTTGTTGTTTGAAAAGCTATCTCCAGCAAAGGAAATCTGCAATCCATGTTTGGTTCAGGCGATGCGTGAATTTTAAGTGGCCCAACAAACTGTTCAGTTCAAGGGCGCTTACAGACAGCAACAAATGTCACCGACACCCACATCCATGAAAGAATGACACTAAAAAAAAGTTCCTCATTGTTTGCTTGATAGAAATAAATAATGCTTCCTAAAAATGCGCACATCATGGTCACTGTTATAGAGTCACAGAGTCATAGAGTTGTACAGCATGGAAATAGACCCTTTGGTCCAACTCGTCCACACCAACCAGACATCCCAATCTGACATATTCCTTTTTTCCAGCATTTGGCCCACATCCCTCTAAACCCTTCCTATTCATTTACCCATCCAGATGCCTGTTATATATTGTAATTGCACCAGCCTCCACCACTTCCTCTGGCAGCTCATTCCATACATGTACCACCCTCTGCATGAAAAATTGCCCCTCAGCTCCTTTTTAAATCTTTTACCTCTCATCTTAAACCTATGCCCTCTAGTTTTGAACGCCCCTACCCTGGGAAATAGACATTAGCTGTTTACCCTATCCACAGCCCTCATGATTTAATAAAACCCTCAGCCTCCGTGACTCCAGGGAAAATAGCCCCAGTCTAGTCAGCCTCTCCCGACAGCTCAAATCCTCCAAGCCTGGCAACGTCGTTATACATCTTTCCTGAACCATTTCTAGTTTAACAACATTGTTCCTACAGCACGGAGCCCAGAACTGAACGCAATATTCCAAAAATAGCCTGATCAATGTCCTGTACAGTCACAACAATTTCTTTGTCATCACTTTTCTTCAGCCACAACCCAAGTTCTTCTGCTGCTCCAGATTTCAGCTTCCTCTGCCCGATGATCAAAAAGCTTCACCAATTCTTTTGTACTCCTCCAAAATCAGATGCAAGATGCGAAAGAATAATTTTGTCAATCAAGAAGAAAACAAACTTGCATTTTTATAGCCCCTTTCACAACCCCAGGATGTCTCAAAGAACTTTGCAGCCAATAAGATACTTCTGAAGTGGAATCACTCTTGTCTTATGCAAATGCAGTCATGAATTAACAATCTGGAGAATGTCATGGGGGTTGATCTCAATAGAACTGGAGGATGACAGCCAGTAGATTTTGAGACTGGTGAGCGAGGGATAGCAAGACATAGGAAAGGCAAAAGTCCAGTCACTTCCTGAAGCTGAATAAACACTTGGGTGGGGGTGCTGTGCTCTCAGCTGCTTCAAGCACATCCCAGGTGGGATAAAGCGCCATGAAAAAGATACTCACAGGGCTGTCCTCGGTGATATCCGTAAACCAACAGAACTGGCAAGATCTGGAGCTGGTGAGATGCTCACTTTCTCTCAAATTTGGGCCACGTCAGTCTATTGAATGAATTCACAAGTCAATCAACAAAGATTCAGCATTCAGATCCAAGATGAGTGTTGTATTTGTAGGGAAAGGTGATAGTCCTCTGTAACCTTAGCCTCTGTCCCCTAGTCTGGTCGTAGCCCACAATCGTCTTATGAACCACCATGAGCAGATCCTGCCTCTGTACCAGCCTCGAAGCTATACTCAGTGCCAGTATCGAAGCTGGTGTCGCTAAGCACCACATTCAGTGATGGTGCTTTCTCATCATTGATGTAGGTTTGGTCGCTGTTTCTCTCTCGCTGTCTCCCCTGGGTGTGCTGCAACTGGCTATGTGGACATTCTGGGGCAGGCTTGGTTTTAAAAGCAGGCAGAGAGGGACATGCTGAAGAAAGGGTTAGGGAAGCAAACAACCGCGTCGCTTGCATTTCCCGCACTTCCACCCTCAAACCCCCTCCCCGATTCAAAAGTAAAGACAGATTTCCCTGGTCCTCACATACCACCCCACCAACCTCCGCATCCAGTGTATCATCCTCCACCACTTCCGCCACCTGCAATTCAACCCCATGACCAAAGAGATATTTCCCTCCCCACCCTTATCTGCCTTTTGTAGGGACCATTCACTCCACAGCTCCCTCGAGCGTTCCACACTCCCCACTAGCCCCACCACCCCCGACACTTTTCCCTGCAAGTGCAGGAAGTGCTACACCTGCCCCTAAACCTCCACCCTCACCCCCATCCAAGGCCTTAAGCAAATTTTCCACATCTGACAGGGTGTATCCTCCAACCTGGTCTATTGTATCCGTTGCTCCCGAAGTGGCCTCCTGTATATTAGTGAGATCAAGCGCAGACTCAGGGACTGCTTCGTGGAGCCTCTGCGCTCTGTATGCAATAATCGACACCTTCTGGTCGCCAACCATTTTAACTCCCCCTCCCGCTCCTTGGATGACATGTCCATCCTGGGCCTCCTCCAGTGCCATAATGATGCCTCACGCAAACTGGAGGAGCAACACCTCATATTCCACCTCGGGAGTCTACAGCCGATGGCCTGAACATGGAATTCACCGGTTTTAAAATCTTCCCACCCCCGACCTCATCCCACATCCAAACCTCCCTCTCAACCCCGCCTCCTGGACCTGGCACAACCTGTCTATCTTCTTCCCCATCCATCCGCCCCACCCTTCCCACAGCCAATCCCCACTACCCTCTACCTGCATCCACCTATCACCGCCCCACCTACCTTTCCCCAGCCCCACCCATCCTCCTTCTATTTATTTCCCAGCTGCCTTCCCCCTTCCCAGTTCTGAAGAAGGGTCCTGGCCCGAAACGTTGACTTTCGTGCTCCTCTGATGCTGCCTGGCCTGCTGTGTTCCTCCAGCTCCACACTTGTCTCTGACTCCAGCATCTGCGTTTCTTGCTATCTCCAGGAGATCTACGATCACATCATCAATAACTTGCTCTTCATCCCAGATCCCAATTTGAGGGTAAGGAGAGAGTTGAGAAGGAGCTTGAGGCAATAACATATCCTCATTTTCCAAGGCCTTGCTGATGCTGGATGCCATGGGCTCGAGTAAGGCCCATGCTTGGATTACATCCTGCAAGCGAGAAGGGAGAATTCAGCGATTGTGCGTCACTTTTTGTGGGTGATGTCCTTGCCTGAAGTTATACCCTGGCAGTAGGAGGCTGGCATCTTCAGAAGGTGTGGGTAGTCTGGAGAGTTGGACGTGAGGCATGAAGTTTGAGTGTTTGTGACTCATGCCGAGTGAGTGATTGGAGTGAGTTGAGGTGAGTAATGTGAGAATTTGCGCTATGGCGGCCATGTGATATATATGATGCTGCAATCATTGACTTTCATTGTATATGTCAGGTCAGTAAAGTTTTCCTACCCCTGCTGCCGACTCCTTGGAGCCAGACTCTTTACTTGCTTTACCACATGGGGTTTCACACCCTTCAAAGGGCTTGACATTTGAAGGGGGTGAAAGCACCTACGTTGTAGAAATATCACCTCTCTCTTTGATTGTATCTCCAAGAGGTGCCTCTAGCACTGCATCACTGAATCTTGGAATCCAGCCCCCGGACTGGAGATGCATTTTTCTTCAACTTAGTCTTCAACTATGTCTTTTTTCTCAACCTTCCCATCTCCCCTACAACCTCCCTTTAAAAAAAAAAGCCTGCCTTTAATAGCTGAAGCCTAACTCAAAGACATATTCAGGCTCACAGTGTCATGCACATATGTGTACTAGAATCTGCATATCTTGATACAGAGGGCCCTGTTCTTTCCAGACAGAAAGAACATGTGCACACAATGCAACTTGTTTAGCTCAACAAAGTAGGGATCAGATATTTGTTGGTTCATTCTCAGGGCAATGCCCTGATTAATGGGAGTCAAACTGCCTGGTCTGAAATCGATACAATGCATGGTAGTTAATAGTCAGTCATCATTAATTGTTGCATTGTCCATGCTATCTAACTTGCTAACCAATTAGCACTCTCTTCTCATCAAGTATAAGTTGGTGGTTTTTCCCTTTTCCTTGTGAATTGTCCTGAGTGCAAAACAAAATGCTTTGATAAAATGTGTCTTTTTTTTAAAATTCGCTGTAATAAATTAGATCATGACTGTAACAATCTAAATACATGTTTTTAATAGCATAGTGGGTCTTACTACTGACAGCCAATCGCTTTGGTACTGAAAATTAAATTTTCGAACACAGAATTTCATTCCTTCAGCTTTTAATTGTTGTTGGAGATTTTTCCACTTTTTTTTTTCTGTCTTGCCCTTAATCTGATCTTTTCAATCACTTGTGGGACATGGGTATCACTGACAGGCCAGCATTTATTGTGTGTCCAGCTGCCCTTGTACTGCATGGCTTGCTAGGCCACATCAAAGGGTAGTTAAGAGTCAATCATATTGCTGGGGGTCTGGAGTCACATGTACATCAGGTAAGAATGGCAGGTGTCCTTCCTTGAGGGACATTAGTCAGCCAGATGGGTTTTACCCCAACAATCAGCTGTGGTTTCATGGTCATGAGTAGATTCTCAATTCCAGGCTTTTTATTAACATTCAAAACCGAATTCCGCCATCTGCCATGACGGGATTCGAATCCAGATCCCCAGAATATGAGCAGAGTTTCTGAATTAAATAATTAATTAATTAGAAAGAAATCAAAAATCACATGATTTCAGGTTATAGTCCAACAGGTTTATTTGAACGCATGGGGTTTTGAACTCTTGCTCCTTCTTCAGGTGTCAGTGAGAAAGGTGGCATCAGACACAGAATTTATAAGCAAAATAATCAAAGGGTCATAGAACTGATACGAATATGTTAACCAAACCTAAGATGGCTGTTCAATCTTTAATCAGTTTGAAAGGATTAATATGCAAATTACAGAATTTCTTTCAAGTCACTGCCCTGAAATAACTAAAGATTATATCAGTACATCAGAGGTGACATCTCAGGTCAGACATTGCATTTTAGGTGTGAGGCCTTGTTTAGAATCTGGCTGTGTATTAATTTAGCATCAGACTGGTTTTATTTCCAAAGTAGGAATTTATAAAATGCCACATTGACTGTCTACAAATTGTGTGTTTTCTGAATAAAATAGAATGTATCCGCAAATGCAAATTCACCCCATAGATTTATATGTGTATGTGCATGCCTATGTGAGGGAGGGAGAGAAAGAAGGTGTGTGTGTATGTGTGTGTTTGTGTGTGAAAGAGAGAGAGCGTGCGAGAGAGAGAGCGTGCGAGAGAGAGAGCGTGCGAGAGAGAGAGCGTGCGAGAGAGAGAGCGTGCGAGAGAGAGAGCGTGCATGTTGCAATTGCAGATGCATTCTACTTTGTTCAAAAGCACACAATTTGTAGGCAGTCATTCCTACTTTGGAAATAAAATCAGTCTGACGCCAAGTTAATACACAGCCAGATTCTAAACAAGGCCTCACAACTAAAATGCATTGTCTGACCTGAGACGTCACCTCTGATATACTGATAAAACTTTTAGTTATTTCAGGGCAGTGACTTGAAAGAAATTCTGTAATTTGCATATTAATCCTTTCAAATTGATTAAAGATTGTACAGCCATCTTAGGTTTGTTCAACACATTTGCATCAGTTCTATGACCCTTTGACCTTTTGCTTTTCAATTCTGTGTCTGATGCCACCTATTTCACTGACACCTGAAGAAGGAGAGAGACTCCGAAAGCTCGTTCTTCAAATAAACCTGTTGGACTATAACCTGGTGTTGTGTGATTTTTGACCTTGTCCACCCCAGTTCAACACCGGCACCTCCACATCTTACTTAGCAAGGACATTGGTTAGGCCATTTTTGGAATACTGCATTCAACTCTGGTATCCCTGCTGTAGCAAGGGTGTTGTGAAACTTGAAAGGGTTCAGAAAAGATTTACGGGGTCATTGCCAGTGGTGGAGGATATGATTTATAGAGAGAGGCTGAATAGGCTGAGGCTATTTTCCCCAGAGCATCAGAGGCTGAGGGGTGACATTATAGAAGCTTATTAAAATCATGACGGGCATGGCTAGGGTGAATAGACAAAGTCTTTTCCCCAGGGTAGGGGCATTCAAAACTAGAGGACATAGGTTTAAGGTGAGAGGGGTAAGATTTAAAAGGCACCTATGGGGCAACTTTTTCACACAGAGGGTGATATGTTTATGGAACGAACTGCCAGAGGAAGTGGTGGAGGCTGGTACAATTACAACATTTAAAAAGCATCTGAAAGGGTACGTGAGTAGGAATGACTTAGAAGGATATGGGCCAAATGCTGGCAAATGGGACGAGATTTATTTAGGATATCTGGTTGGCATGGATGAGTTGCACTGAAAAGTCAGTTTCCATGTCATACATCTCTATGACTGTGACACTAATAGCCTAGCAACAATACTACTAGGCTGCAGCGTACCATTCTTCCTCCCTATTGGGAGTAAACTTTACTTTGCCCTTGAATGCAGGTTGTGGGGTAGAGGACCAGGTAAAATTTAAGAAAAATGTATTTGGTAATTTCCCCATG